GGAGCCTCGCTACCTCGCTTTTTGTTGCGCAGCCAGCGCAACCATGTGCAGCGCGCTGCCGTGCTCCCCTTTGCGCGAAGGAGGCATCGGCGCATCTCCGTTCTGCCAATCCGGGGGGGTCTCCGCCGCACCGCTTCGCAATCCGTTTTGCGAACGACGCATGGATGGTTCCTTACTTCGTTTCGTCGCTGCGCCTTTCACTTCGCGAACGAAGCATGGGTGCTTCGTTGCTTCGCTTTGAATGCAGCAAGCCACAGCATATTCAACGCATTGCCATGCTCACATGTCCGCAGGCGAAGTATCGGCATGTCTCCGGTTCGCCAATCGGGGAGTATCCGTTGTCGTTTCGTTTTCGGTGTTGTCGGCGATGTGTGGGCATTTCGCTTCTACGTCTGATCATTTCGCGCTTCGCTTCGCGAGCGAAGTATGGGCGTCGTGCCTTCGTCTTCCGCGTAGCAAACAGGAATGTGCAGCGCGGTGCTTCACTTCTGTTTCAATGAATTGCGCAGCGGCGCTGCGGGATTTCGCCGTGGTGGAATTCCTCGATAGCTCTTTTCGTCTTTAGCTCCGCGACCGAAAGCATGGGCGTTTCGTTACTTCGCGAGATGACTTCGTCTTTCGTTCCGCGAATGAAAGACGAAGCGATGGGCCCGCTGTGCAGAGGGATTCCCGCAAGAATGTCTCGACGTTCGTTTAACGCATTTCAGCGAGAGAAGCATTGGCACGCAGTCCCCTTCTTCGCTGCCGGGTCGGCGAATGGTACCGGTCGGTCGGATCTTAATTCATTCCGTCGCAGCGACGGATTCATTGGCTCGTCGTTTATCTACATCGTTGTTGAGCCGTCGTGCGTTCGTTTCGATTGCAGATTTCTCACGTTCTAGTTTGCTGCCTCGCAGTGTTCCAAGTATCGGTGCGTCATGATGAATTTGTATGTCGAAACGGCGACCGTGTGTTTCGGAAGCCTATTGCTCACTTATGATACCTCGTTCGTTCTGTCGCATCGGACGACATGTTCGTCGCGCCCTGAAGTTGGGGTCCCGTGGGCCCTCGAGGTATAGGGTAAGAAGGGACGGGGAACGGGGAGGGGGGAGGGGGGGGGGAACGAGCGAGGGTGGGGTGGGGGGGGGGCGGCGAAGGGGGGGGAGGAGGAAGGCAAGACCCGAGGAGGGAGGGGGATCGAGGATCGAGGATAGAGGGAGGCGGAGGATGGGGAATCGAAGGTTCTGGACCCAGACGTGCGGCGTCTTGATTTTTGTCAGGACGGCGTCCCTGGAAGTCCCGACCCTTTCCCCGGGACCAGTTTTTCTGCCTGAGTCGTTTCTTGGCGGTCCCGAGGCCCGGCGAGGGCCCCCCGAGGCCGAAAACGGCGAAGAAGTGTTCGTCTTGATTTTTTTAAACGACGCGAGCATGTCTGGGGACGATGGGGGGTGGCACCACCGCACGCGCGCCCTCGAGGGCGTCTAGGGGGGGGCGGGGGGCGGCGGCGCAGGAGGACGAGCCGCGGCTCCTGCCGCTGCTGGGGGCGCGGGTCTGCGGCGGCGGGGGAGACCCCAAACTGCGGGGGGCAACGGCATGGCAGGCGACGCCAAACTGCCAAAAGCCCGCCGCCAGCAGGTGCCCCGCGAGAGTCAAGCAGTGGCGGAGCGTCCCGGCTCGCCCATAGCCCCACCAAACAATGTTCTAAGAACCTTTTTTCCCAACCATCCTGTGGTGTTGGGTCCTCGTTTTGAAGAGACAGCGCCCCGCGTTCCTTCCTTCCCGCTGCCCCCTCCCTCCTCCCATCTTCATCATCATCGTCATCATCCCCATCATCGTCATCGTCATCATCATCTGTCGTCATCATCATTATCACCACCCATGTCGGCACACCCCTCACACGTTTCGTGACCCCATAGGGAGCTCCACCGAAGGTCCCAGTGGTGTGCCCGCATGCGTCCCGCACACTCATTTCGGCACACACCCTCACACGCTTCGTGGCCCCATAGGGAGCTCCACCGAAGGTCCCAGTGGGTGTGCCCGCATGCGTCCCGCACACCCATTTCGCACACCCCTCACACGTTTCGTGGCCCCATAGGGAGCTCCACCAAAGGTCCAGTGGGTGTGCCCGCATGCACACCCATTTCGGCACACCCCTCACACGTTCGTGGCCCCACAGGGAGCTCCACCGAAGGCCCCAGTGGCTGCGTCCGCATGCGTCCCGCACACCCATTTCGGCACACCCCTCAACGTTTCGTGGCCCCATAGGGGCTCCACCGAAGGTCCCATGGGTGCCCCGCATGCGTCCCGCACACACATTTCGGCACACCCCTCACACGCTTCGTGGCCCCATAGGGAGCTCCACCGAAGGTCCCAGTGGGTGTGCCCGCATGCGTCCCGCACACCCATTTTGGCACACCCTTCACACTATTCGTGGCCCCATAGGGAACTCCACCGAAGGTCCCAGTGGGTGTCCCGCATGCGTCCCGCACACCCATTTCGGCACACCCTCACAGTTTTCGTGGCCCCATAGGGAAGCTCCACCGAAGGTCCCAGTGGGTGTGCCCGCATGCGTCCCGCACACCCATTTCGTGGCCCCATAGGGACTCCACCGAAGGTCCCAGTGGGTGTGCCCGCATGCGTCCCGCACACCCATTTCGGCACACCCCTCACACGTTTCGTGGCCCCATAGGGAGCTCCACCGAAGGTCCCCAAAGGTCCAGTGGGTGTGCCCGCATGCGTCCCGCACACCCATTTCGGCACACCCCTCACACGTTTCGTGGCCCCATAGGGAGCTCCACCGAAGGTCCCAGTGGGTGTGCCCGCATGCGTCCCGCACACACATGTCGTCCCACCCCTCACACGTTTCGTGGCCCCATAGGGAGCTCCACCGAAGGTCTCAGTGGGTGTGCCCGCATGCGTCCCGCACACCCATTCCGGCACATCCCTCACACGTTTCGTGGCCCCATAGGGAGCTCCACCGAAGGTCCCCGTGGCGCAGTCCACATGCGTCTCCTTTGCCCAGTACAGCGTTACGTGGCCCCATATGGAGCCCCACCGCAGGTCCCAGCCAGCCAGCTAGCTCTCTTTGCTCCGCGCAGCGGGCGACCCGCGCGCGTCGCTGGGACTCCTCCGGGGCGACCTGCGCGCGTCGCGGGGGCTCCGTGCTGCGTTCCGCCCAGCGCCTCGCTCGCCCGTCGTCGCTCTGCCCAGCGGCAAGAGCCTTGCCCGCTATCAGCCAGCCAGCTAGCTCTCTTCGCTCCGCGCAGTGGACGACCCGCGCGCGTCGCTGGGACCCCTCCGGGGTGACCTGCGCGCGTCGCGGGGGCTCCGCGCTGCGCTGCTCCCGCAGCCTTGGACTTTTGAGTGCGCGGGCAAAGAGGGAGTAAAGGAAGGGGAGGAAGCGGGCGCGATCCTCGCGGGGGGGCGCGCCGACATTGGCGTCGCGGCGCGCGGGCGATGCCGTCGGGGAGTCCCGGGGAAGCTCCTTGCGGCGGCCACGCCCAGCGTCACGAGTATTCAGAGGCAGTCGTTGTCAAACTATTGGCATTCATACACATTTGCACCACGCTTTGTCATATTCGCATTCATGCACGTAGACTCGCTCGCACGCAGATCATTCACAGTCAGACGCACGCGCGCAGATTCACCCGCGCTCAGTCTCCCTACGTACTCAGATCAATCGTTTTCGTTCACTTTGTGTACCACGCCACTCATGTCGGCACGCCCCTAGCACGGTTCGTTGCCTCATAGGGATCGCCACCGAAAAAATGAATCACTATTGCGGTACTCGCACCTGCATATGGTTGGGTCCCTCGTCAGGCTAATTTTGTGGTATGCACGAAATGTTTTTAGAACATTTCTGGCTGGGACTGTCTTGTTTTAGCACATCTGGTTTATGATATCAGAAAACTGTTTTTCTTCTTAGAACATGTGTGGGTTCTAAGAGCACTTCGTGGTAGGACTATAGGAATGCTGGGACGGTCGGTCCCTGCTCAAGAAAGCGCCGCACGTTCGGGCAATGTTTTTGGAGGGGCGTCTTCGGGCTTCCGTGGGTTCTCGGCGGCCTTCCGGCCTCGGGGCGCTCTTTGGCAGCTGCGCCTCGCCGAGGGCCTTCCAGTGGGGGCCCAGATCGTCCTGAACGGCCGCCGGTGAGCCGAGTCATGACCAGAAAACCAAGGGGCAACGTCAGGTTCGGGCCGGACGAAAGGGGGGGCATTGGGAAAGGGTGGGTTACGAAATCGGCTGTTTCGACCCGCCGAGGGGCCTATTCCTCGATACATGGACGCCTCCTGTCGCCTGGAGGCGCCGGGAAAATCAGCTACGTGAGCTGATTCTCAAGCCCCCCCTTTGCTATCCCCCCTTTCGCCCGACCCGACAAATGCGGGTACGGTCAAAAATGTATGCTTAGCGTGTTGCGCCGCTGGTTCTGGCACACCACGCTTCGGCGCTGCACGGTGGCCGCTTCCTGGTCCCCCAGCGTCGACGTCCCGAGCTCTTCCCAGCCTCCCGCCCCGCGGAGCGGAGCGACACGCTGTCCGCCCGCACGGCGCAGCATGTCGCCAGGGTCGCCGCCGCGACACACCGAGCAGAAGCTCCCGACCGCAGGCACGTCAAGCTGCCGAAGCCGGCCAAGTGGCGCGGAGGAGGTGTGCGGGCCAGCATGCCTGGGCCTCATGTGGGGCACGGGGCAACGAAACGTGTGAGGGGCGCGCCGAAGCAGAGGCCACGGAGGGCAGAGGCGAAGAGGGGGGCCAGGGAAGAGATGGAGGGGGAAGGAAGTTTGGGACGCGGGGCGCTGCCGCCTCAAAGCGAGGACCCCACACCGGGGACCGGAGACCCCGGGAACCGGGGATCCTCACGAAGATGGCGATGCCCACGACGCCGAAGATGACACCGCCGCCGCCGACGACGACGGCGACGACGACCCCAGGCGGCGTGGTGGGTCGCCTCCTGCCCGGCGCCCGCTCGGGCCCGGCCGCTGCCGGCGAGGGCGGCGGGGCCGCCGGTGACCTGCTCTGCGAGGTGCGGGCCGGGCCTCGTCGGGCTTCCCCTGGAGGGGGGGATCGCAACGACCCAGAGCTCCTCATGCTACCCTCCCAGACCCCCGACGTCATGAATTTTTCATGAGGTCCGGACCCATTGCCCGGGACCGGTTTTTCGTCCTGAGTCGGTTTTTAACGGTCCCGAGGGCCGGTAAGGGCCCCCAGAGGCCGAAAATCATGAAAAATTGCGCGTCGTGATTTTTTCATAACTCGAGGGGGTCTGGGCTCCAGGCCTCCTCTGAGCTGTGGCTTATGTGCCTCACCCCCCCGGTAGCCTTCTCACGAGGAGCTTTCGAGGAACGCCTGACCTGACCTGACCCTCCAGGCCTCCCAGATGGGGTCCGAGTTGATGGGGTCGGAGGATCGCGCCGCATCGCCGATGCATCGACGATGCGGCTCGATGTGGAGCCCGGCTTTGTCCACGCCGACGTCGCCGATGCATCGCCGACGTCGCCGATGCATCGGCGATAAATCGGTGATGCGGCGTGGTTCTTCGACCCCATCTATTCGGACCCCATCGAGGAGGCCTCTATACCCAGACTCTTCCCGCTCCTCCATTCCTTGCCGTTTCCTGTCGCACCGCGAGGCCGGTCGAAAGGGCGGGCCGGGCGTTTCGCTGGAGGCTTTTTCATTACGTATGAGCTCGATGTTTCAAATTATCCGGGCGAAAAACCCAACCATATGCAATTATGAATACCGCAATTGTGAATACCATCTTCGCCCGCGCTCCCTATGTGGCCACGGCTTCCCGCCGGAGCCCGACATGCTCAGGGACACGTTCGTGGTCGTCTTCGCGGGCGCCGACGACGACAAGGACGGCGTCCCTCTCACCGAGGAGCAGAAGCAGGAAAGGGCCTTGAGAGCCATGAGGGAGGAGGTGGCGTTGCACGTCGACAAGGCGGAGTACGACGCCCAGGCGCGGTTGTTGAAGCAGCACAACTATGGGGCCACGATCCTCGTGAGGGGTGTGCCGAAATGGCCCGGGGCCGCCATGCGAACCCTGCCACTGGCGCCTTCGGTGGAGCTCCAGTGGGGCCACGGTCCTCGTGAGGGGTGTGCCGAAATGGCCCGAGGCCGCCATGCGAACCCTGCCACTGGCGCCTTCGGTGGAGCTCCCTATGGGGCCACGATCCTCGTGAGGGGTGTGCCGAAATGGCCCGAGGCCGCCATGCGAACCCTGCCACTGGCGCCTTCGGTGGAGCTCCCTATGGGGCCACGATCCTCGTGAGGGGTGTGCCGAAATGGCCCGAGGCCGCCATGCGACCCCTGCCACTGGCGCCTTCAGTGGAGCTCCCTATGGGTCTACGATCCTCGTGAGGGGTGTGCCGAAATGGCCCGAGGCCGCCATGCGAACCCTGCCACTGGCGCCTTCGGTGGAGCTCCCTATGGGGCCACGATCCTCGTGAGGGGTGTGCCGAAATGGCCCGAGGCCGCCATGCGAACCCTGCCACTGGGGGCAGTCGGTGGAGCTCCCTATGGGGCCACGATCCTCGTGAGGGGTGTGCCGAAATGGCCCGAGGCCGCCATGCGAACCCTGCCACTAGGGCCTTCGGTGGAGCTCCCTATGGGGCCACGATCCTCGTGAGGGGTGTGCCGAAATGGCCCGAGGCCGCCATGCGAACCCTGCCACTGGCGCCTTCGGTGGAGCTCCCTTTATGGGTCCACGATCCTCGTGAGGGGTGTGCCGAAATGGCCCGAGGCCGCCATGCAAACCCTCTCACTGGCGCCTTCGGTGGAGCTCCCTATGGGGCCACGATCCTCGTGAGGGGTGTGCCGAAATGGCCCGAGGCCGCCATGCGAACCCTGCGAGTGGCGCCTTCGGTGGAGCTCCCTTATGGGTCTACGATCCTCGTGAGGGGTGTGCCGAAATGGCCCGAGGCCGCCATGCGAACCCTGCCACTGGCGCCTTCGGTGGAGCTCCCTATGGGGCCACGATCCTCGTGAGGGGTGTGCCGAAATGGCCCGAGGCCGCCATGCGAACCCTGCCACTGGAGCCTTCGGTGGAGCTCCCTATGGGGCCACGATCCTCGTGAGGGGTGTGCCGAGATGGCCCGAGGCCGCCATGCGAACCCTGCCACTGGGGCCTTCGGTGGAGCTCCCTATGGGGCTACGAAACGCTGTGCTGGGTGGGTGAAACGCAAGGTGGAGGGGGAGGGGCAGCGGGAGGAGTGGACGCGGGGCGCTGTCTCTTCAAAACGAGGACCCAACACCACAGGATGGTTGGGAAAAATCACCCAGGGAAAACCCCCATCAGTGTTATGGATGTTGAGATCGATTGTGAGATCGACAGTGAGATCGATAATGGGACCGATAGTGTAGACGATACTAAGTTCGATCGTGAGACCGATTGTGAAGTCGGTTCAATGAGATCGATAGTGAGATCGATCCTGAGGTCGTTTGTGCGATCCAAAGTAATAACGATTATGAGACTGAAAAGGAAATCGGTTGTGAAATCGACTGTGCGATCGATAGGGCGGTGGGAAAGGAGATCGCTACTGAGACCGATCGAGAAGAACATCGACTAGGAACCCGGGAAAATGAAAGCCGGGAACCCCGCCGCCCACCGAAACCGGCCCTGAACCAGCAACTGGGAACCCGTGAATCTGGTGGCCTACCGAAATCGGCCTGGAATTTTCGCCACATGTTTCAATCTCCGCTAGGACCCCTTCAGAGCAAGCGCTGATTGGGGAGTTAACAACAGCTTCACAATTGGAGGGCGGCCGCTTTCAAAATGCGGTTATCGCTTTAGCGCCGCGCACATTCGTTTCAAGAATTGGCAAGAGCTTCGCGGATTGAGGGCGGGTGGTTTTCAAATTGTTGCTCTCGCCTCAGCGCCGCGCACATTATTGTTTGAAGAGTTTTGCAACAGCTTCACATATTGAGGGCGGGTCGTTTTCAGAATGTGCCTCTCGCCTTAGCGCCGCGCATAGTCCTTTCGATCAGCGTTTGCAAGAGATTCATGTTTTCAGGGCGGGTGTTTTTTAATGTGGTGTTGTGTCCCTTGGGCGCCGAGCACATTCGTTTTGAAATGTAACATGAGTTTCACGGACTGAGGGCGGCTCGTTTTCAACATGTGGTTCTCCCATTCACGCCGCTCACATTCGTTTTTACCCATTTGCAAGAGGTTAGCGGATTTTCATGGTTTTCGTACTAGAAATGGTGTTGTGGAACGATTCGGGATTGTCAGGGCGCAACAATTACGTTGATTCGCTGCGTTCAAGTCCCAGGACACACTCAGGATCGCCAAGACGTAACAGTCAGGTCAACTCGTAGCGCTGAAATCATTTGACTGGTATTCTGGCGCGCTTCAAGATGTTCACACTGTTGTCCCCCAGCGGGGCAATTCCTTCATTTGAAATGGCCCCGTGTTGAACAGGGATCTTGGAGGGAGGGTGTATTTCAACATCGTTGATGAGTCTTGGGTTTACATTGGTCCTCCTTTTCCTCCCTCTTCTTCCTCCTCCACATCACCATCATCATCCCTCCTCCTCATCTTCCTCCTCACTCAAATTGGTGAAGTCGCCGATGTTTGGCCCGAGCGTGGACGCAGACCTTCTTATCGTATGAAGAGGAAGAACCCCGAAATCTACATGTTTTTGCCGCCGTTTTTTTTTCGTACAGGTCCCAGACCCCGCAATTCGAGTTAGTTGCGGAGCTTGGAGCGATCCCAGGTCGCGATCCACGGGACGTGCATGTGATGCCCGAGTCGCAGGACACGTATATTCATCAACATGAACAACAGCACTTTCTCCAGAACGAAAGGCACAGGCAAAGGCAATGGTTCTCAGATGTACGCGTTCCTAATGGAGCTCTCTGATACCCAAGTATATCGGGTTTTCTTCTGTGGGAAAAGGACAATGCAGAGACAAGTACTCGTCAGGCAAGGGGAAAGGTTGACGCCGCCATCCGCAAGGCTATGACGGGGCCGCCATGCCGCGTAGCATCTTCGGGAGCGAGTACCACTTCCGCGCTAAGTGCCCGCAAGGGAGTGCATCGCCAACGCAGGGCAGCGACAGCGGCGACCAGTTCGGAGGTCACGCAGATGTCCGACACATAGATGGCACCTGGACCCCGGCCCTCTTGCCAGGATTTCAGGAGTTGCCCTCATGGCCACCGAGGACACACCTGAACAGCAGCAAAGCCACAACGCTACGCCAGCGCAACCATCCGTCCGCCGACTGCTCCTTGAAGATATCTGGATCAGTCCACGGCTCGTGGCCAGCAGCCTCGCTCACCACGGTCCAGAGCCACGCGCGCACCGACGCGCCAGCTGTCCCGCCACCACCGCATATGCTCAGCATAGCAAAACCAACATCATATCCGTCCCAACATCGAGCGTCGCCGCCGCTCCCCAGCGCGACCACCGCCGCCGCGGAGTCGGCAGCAACTGCCGACGGAGCTCGTTCTTGCAGCAAGGTACCACGAAGGATTACAGCTTTATCGGGGCCCCGCGAGATGAACCTTATCGACCAGCAGTACAGCGCAGGTGCTATCATCCGTCCAATTGGCGAACTCGCTGTCCCTGGTGGCCAGCGCATTACCATTCCTCACATTAGTGGTTTCGGCCAACTCACACGCCGACGGCAGGGCCAGCTAGTGCGAGCTGCCCTACCAGACAGACAACGCCGCGGATATGAGCACCTAGCTGAAGTGCCGACCGCGGCCATCAGGACCAACGTCGTGCACTCTCCATCCGGCTGTCTTCCATGGCCAGGTTGATGCCGACCACGACGCCCAGGTGGAACAACGGCGCGCCCACCACCGCGAGCGCGCCCACCAGATGATCGACGTCACGACTGGACCCCCGACCATCGCACCACCACCACTACCATCGGCTCTACGCACAGAGTCACAACTTACTGGAGTTGAAGCCGACACCGATGAGATGTGCGGCATCTGTTTGGACCACTACGTTAACCTGGATACTGCCGCTATTTTTCAGCGTGGCCATCGCTCCCATCAGAACTGCGCCGACGCCCG